TCAAAAAGCTTTGGGATCTTAGCCCTTGACTTCAAACGCACGAGAACCAATCCCCAAACGATGGCAAAACGTGGAAAATTTTCGAACTTTGAGAACGCGCATCGCTTACGTCTTTGCCTTGCTTAGTTTCTTATTTTGGGGAGGAGGGGGATCCTAGTGGGAGGGATGTTATCGGACGCCCCAAGCTAGTAACTTATTTCATCTTTCTCCAATTTTCTTCTCATTCTTTAGTATACTTCTTAAAGTGCTTGCGCCGATGTTGCTGCACTTGGAGAGGGTTCCTGCGACACTTTCTTCACAATCGGCAACCGAGGAGCAAAGAGTGGAGCAAACTGGATGGGGGCCCGACAAAGCGAACTGCTCAGCGGTCGCGTTGCAAATTAGAGGAGACGAATCTGCAAGAAAAGTAGAAGATTTCAAAAGATGTACTTACTTACAACTAGTATTCTCGTGTTGTTGTTATTCATCTAGACAACATAATTGATGTCTCCGATATGCACACGGCGCGTGACCGCGGGCACGCTTGAGGGTACGCCGATGCCACCGCCTCCTGGCGTCGTCGTAGAGGTCGACACGGAAGTGGACACTGCGCCAACCATTTCTTTGCCCGACGTTGCTGGTGGATACGTGATTTCACTTGGGGAAGGCAGGGGTTTGTCGTGATTTCTCTGAGGAAAAAGAGACATGCAGCTGGTTGCGAGCGTAGATGTGCAACTCGTGGCTAGGCCACTCGGAGTGGTAATGCTCTTTTTCGATGGAAGCTGTATTAGCAGAGACGAAACGCGGTTATAGCTCTCTGATACGGTGGAGGAGCTGCCGCCACCCGCGGCTGCAGCACTGGCATCCGCAGGAGACGAGGCGGAGCTACTTGCGCCCGTGAATGTTCTGCCACCAACAGAAAGGAACGCAGATGAGGATTGATGTGCCGCTGCTCCAACATTTTGATGAGCTGCGGCAGTAGTAGAGGTAGGAACAGCAGGTACATCAACAGGTTTTTCTGCGGATGACTGCTTTGTCGAGCTTGTGCTGGTCTGTACGCGCAGCAACGGGCTTGGACTAGCGGTGAAAATTTCTGGACTGGATCCTGCCACGTTCGCACTCATACTCCAAGCTCCCGGGCTGGCCTTTTTCCACTCCTGGTTCGGAATCACGCCAAAGGTGCGTGGAGTCTCCTGCACCAAGTTCATCAAACCCGAAGTCGTCAGAGTGCTGTAGTTCATCGACTCTTGATTTGAAGCACTCACTTGGTCACCAGTGGTGTCGTCGGAAGTGCCACCTCCGGCAGCAGACGCTCTGGACGATGTGCCTGACGCTCCCGGAGTGGGCAGACGCACACACGGTTGAAAGAGGAACTTCGCAGAGTTCTCTAACCGTTCTTCCCGAGCAGCGTCGTTGTACGACTTCCGGAATCGGTCTAGATATTCGCCCACATCCTCCCCGTCGGGTGTCGCTCGCGTGGTCGACCGAGAGCAGCCGGGGGTGCCAGCGGCAAGGGTGATCTTGCTTCGCACGCTTTGGCTCAGTGGACCACCACACGCGGCAAGTGACGAGAAGGTCGAGGACGATAGCAATTGTGGGGAAAAGAAAGGCCGCTGGACTGCGTGCCAATGGCACACGCCACGCTTCAAACTGCCCTCGCGGCTCCCTGCTGCGCCGAGGCGCAACGATGTCGGTGTAGCAACGCCAGCCCCGGTCCGCACGAGCGACGTTGGCGTCAAGGTGCCGCGTGTGTTCGCCACACCAATACCTGTGCTTCCGCCAGCAAGCAGAACTCGGCCACCAAGGCTCTTTTGCGCGTCTGCGACGGGTAAAACGGACACAACTAAACGGCTGCCACCGACTACTGGCGGTGGACGGCCTCGGCTCGCGCGGGATAGAACTTCGTGTCTTTGCTGTAACGTGGTAGATGAGGACACAGAACGACTGGCAGCTGAGTGCGTGCTGTCCTGTAAACCGGAGGAAGCTGCAGGTTCCGTCCGCTTACTGAACGCTCGCAACGCAGCAGGGACTGAAGGGCTCGAGGACTTTCTATTCTCCGTTGCTCCCTTTGAAGATGTTGTAGTAGAAATAGTCTTGCTCTGATTTGCAGCCGCAAGCTCTTCCTCTAGGTCGTCCCGGACTGACGTCCCTATTTCCGTCTCCGGCGCAGGACAACATTTGGAGGTGCTACGATAAGCTGGTAAACTCGAATACCGTGTCGCTGCACTGCTATTGCGAAGCCCCCACGAAGGACGGTGTAGGAAAACCTGCTGGAGGAAAGGAAAAGATTTAATCAACAATTTTGGAGTTAGAAGTTTATCTTTTTCTCTTTGTGCATTGAAGAAGATGACAAAACACGCACAAAAACATGAATCAGAAATTGGAAAGATGAAGACATTCTTGACTTCATCATAATTCCGATCACACGCCTCTTTACCACATAAACACCGCTGGCCGCCAAGAAGAATGTTTACACCGAAGGAAGCCACTACTATCGTGGAGTTCTCGATAAAGAGTAATACCGGTCCCGCGCCTAGCGGGGACAACGCATTGAAAGAGAAGCGATGCTGCCCCAGAGACTTTCTCGCGTCTGATGTTGTAGAATCGATTCCCGCGGCATGCAGCAGAAGAGGTCTAGTCGCAAAACTCATATTGACCTTCAAGGACGGCCGTTTCGCGTGCGGCCCGAGGAGGGGCACAGCTGGCTCTGTTGCAGTTGCCTTGACAGGAGAGGAAAAGACGTCTTCATGCACATCCGCTCCCGCTTCGTCTGTAATATTCTCTGCGTCATTGTTGTCGCCCAAGGCGTCACTTATCGTAGCTTTTACCTTATTGTTCTCCATGATAGATGCTGAGCCACGTGCAAGTGCGTCCTCCTGCTCGCCTTCTACTCCTTCATCTGCAACTAGCTCAGCGCTAGCAGTCTTTGCCGCTGTATCGAGTGTGTCATCTTTTACGCTGTTTTTGACCGCGTCCTCAGAAGTCGCAGTGCTGCTATTCGCAACAGCACTTTTCTCGTTCTGCGCATCGCATCCTGATGAAGTCGTCGACAATGTTTTCTGTCCGCGAAGCATGAGAGGTGGCGTTGCCTCTTCTGACACTGCTAACTCGCCTGTTTCCTCAGGCGCTTCCAAGTCGAAGAGGGCAGAACTGGAGGTCCGAAGAGGCGGATAGATGTCCATTTCGATCGGATCCACTGCAACATCCTCCTGCTTCGCATAGGTACGTTGACGACGATCTCCATTTGGGTCCTCCGCTTCTTGGAGGTGCACAGAGGACTCTGAAGCGGCGACCTCTCTAAAACGGACCTGAAGGTGGACGCGCGATTGTTTGCTGGCGCCGCTCTAGCGATGTTCATGATTGCATGAATCTTGTGAGTCTGCAACAAGATTCACTTTATGTTTACTTATTATCCGTAGTTTAATCATGCTCATCTTGTGACAATTTTATCGTGTCAGTCTTTGATTTTGATATCTACTCCTGATCCTATTAAAATTGAATGTGAGACGATCACAGTGACATCCACGTACCAAATTTCAAAATGATGCTCCTCAAAAATACTGTGGTTGTAGTTGAAGAAATATTTGTACGTCTGCAGTGGATGCAGCCAGGACGTCATCAACTTGCCTTGTAGAAAAGCCGAATTCTTGATTATTCATCTCCACTGTCGCCTGGTGGTGGTGACGTGGATGAGTTTAAAATGAGTGACGTCAAATTGATACTTTCACGTGAATGAGTGCTGCTAGACGCAGAACGTTCGTCGACCCCGTCAACTACTACTTCGACGTTTGGTTCTGGTTGTATCTTCTAAAAAGACAAAGGAGATATTAGAGCAGAAAGACTCTAAAAAGGACCTGTGTTCGTCCGCTCTCCATCACCTCGCAGTCTCTCCTTGTCGAAGAAAGTTGGTCGATGCTTTCGTCATCTATTTTCTCTACGACGTGTGGTACTGACGCTGAAGACTTTTGGCCAAAGAGCGAACGTGGCGCGTCAGTTCGTTTCTGAAACCCAATCGGGCGTTGAGTCGCACTATCGCTTGATGCAGTTCGCTGCTCTCGAGATAACGTCGGTGCGAGGCGATCGCTACCTGATCAGCCGACATGGATAATTTGGATTAGATACCACCGAGATAAACAAACTATTCATTTATTTTGGGAGATATCAAACCGCTGCTGAGGGCTTTAAATCATGCACATGCATGTTAAAAGTACACATGAATCACAAGGGGTACACTATCGGGGAATAACATGTCCATCACGCACCGTCAAGAAACGGCACAACTACAAAATACAAGCACAAATAGCAAATCAATGTTTGATAAAATATTAATGAAGTACTCGATGACCCGCTCTCCTCCATGTAGCAATCGACCTCGTCTTTCAGTATCTCAGGCTCTTCTTCGCCACAGGAAGCGGGGTAGACATCATCGACTACAATGTCATCCCGCGCACTTCCGCCAGGTATCGTCCCTGGCGTACCGAACTCCTCGGGTTCACTGTTCGTGGAAAAAAGGAGACTAGGGCTAGACTTAGTGCTAGAGCTAGTGGAGGAAATGGAGTAACAAGATGAACAGTCATTCGTTGTGACGAGGCCTTTAGAGAGTCAACATGAAAGAGGATACTGATACCGTGAGTCAGGTATTAAGTAGCCGCTACTAGTAGCAGTACACGTCTTCCCCGGATATAGACTCGACTCCTACGCGGCTACCGCATGGTGTGCCGTAATCCTGGCCGCCTGGGGTGGAGAAACCGCCGACGCCCCGCGGCGTGATAATCTGGGCTCCAGCAGCTGCCTGGCGAAAGCCGCCGCTCGGTGACGCATATTCGGACCCTAGATCTGTCATGTTGATCGCCCTTCAAATCTTTTGCGACTACCCTATCAATATCATGATGTAGGAGCCCTATCTCCTATCATTTGGATAGTTGACCACCAAGACCATGTAGAAGTTCAAGTTAAGATCCGTGACACCATAGAAAGCACAAGCAGGTAGAATTATCATTCGAACAACACAGGAGAAGGATGGTACTGTCGTGGTTGACTGCCAAGTACGACTTGTGTATTTGCGCGCAAATATATCTTTTAGCGGAGTTTTTCATTTCTCCTACTTGCTTACCTCATTCAGTGTATTTCGATTTTAAAAATGTTTGCTCTCTATAATCTTCAACTCCGTCGCATGTAATCAAGACCGAAACACCAAGGGTCAACATGGTAAACCCAACATTGTATATTTGACGTCTCTATAAAAATGCTATCTCGCTCTTGCACTCAGTTTCCCAACGAGATATATCTACTATCATGTTCCTCTTCATCGGGTTGTTTCTTCTGCTCAAGTTTGTGCTAGTCCAGCATGCCTGTACTACTCCATTTTGATAAAGTGCATGTGCACTTCACTGTGGACAGTAGCTATTAAAAAAATGCATTGTGGCGAGAATATGAACAATCGTTTCATCAACATCATGCGACTGCAGGCACTGTAGCTCAGATACCTCTCTGGTAAACCTCGAACGGGCTTTTTATTGCGTAGTATGTCTATGTAAGCCTAAGATCTCGTACTACGTAATACCTAGTTTTCACAACTTCCACTTGCATGTTGAAATCACTAGTACTTGCATGTAGACATCAAATTAATAAATATAGTTAGTAGCTTCTCCTTCTTCTACTTGCATGGTGCAAAATGACTTCTACAAGCCGTTTGTGACATACTCCCTGTGTATCTTTTTGTTTTTTCGTTCTAGAAACTCAAACTCAACGTTGTTTGCAACCAATCAAATAAAGTCCGCCCACTCACTGAAATGCTGTTGCATGTGGTGCACAGCGTGCATATCGCCGTAGACATTATCGCCCGGAATTCGATCGTACACGAGGAAATGGTCGCTGTGGGACGTATGTGGCGACATAATGAGGTGCGCGACGCTATCTGTGTCCAGAGATTCTATTTTCCCCGTGGCGTCACGATGACGCAACGACTTGATTGCTGCCTTGTTCCGCTGGTTCACCGCGTAGTCGTCGCCGCCTAACCTGGCGCGCGCGGCGTATCGACCATGCTGTTCCTGTTCCCGCTGTCGACGTTGCCAGTCGTCAAACCCCTTGTTGAAGCGCTCTTTCGTCCTTCGTGCCATGGTCTTCGCATTGGTCCATATGGCTTGAGCCTTGTCTCGCACATCGTATGCCGCATTCATGATTCTGTTCCGCGTATCCACCGCACCTGTCGAAATGCTTTGCCCGGAGCCTTTGCGGGCGTTGTTCATGCGGTCATAAATCGACGGCTTGCGATAGCGGGCAGAATATTAGAAATGAAACAACACCACGAAGGAGCAAAAACTACTACAAACAACCTAGAAGTCGTATTTGTAGTACTAACAATTTATAATTAGTACTCCCTCCCAAAAGCCAACATCTCGATGATCTATAAGAAAGGTTAGGATGTAGGCGCTTGTTACGTGACAACGTGGTAAAAAAACTACTAGCCGTAACACTCGCTCATTGTTTTTCTCGGCACCATTTTCCGTCCCACCCAGCGTGTACCCCACGGCCATAGCTTTACCTTCTCTTCTTGCTCCTCCCCGCATTTCGCAAACTGGAGGAAATAGAGACACGACATGGCCGATATCGACAATTGGTTTAACGAGATAATAAGGTGGACAACGAGGAGCACATACCGTTCATGTGAAACAAGCTCAAACAGGAACATCAGAAGGATCACCAAATGAAGCAAAAGGAGCAACAAGATATATTTGCATTGTCGGGTCAACGTGGATTCTTCAAAAAAATAAAAAGTTGAGAAAGATACAACTGCCCCTAAAAACTTATTGTCAAATATTTTCTGTTTCCTATTGTTTTTGTGATGACCATAACTGTAACTATCATGACCATTACGGTCGTTAAAAGCTATTCTGAAATCCTTACGTCCTGATTGATCTTGTCTTTTTCGCCTTCTAGCCTTTGGTCTATTTCCGTGACCCGTTGCTCAAGGTCTCTTTTGCGTTCTTCTGGTCGCCATCTCTCATTTTGTGCTCTCGCCGTCGAAGCACCACGAGCACCCAACACCTTCGGAGGACCCGTGTTTGCTGTATGGTCGTTGTCATGCCGATTCAGAGCTTCCTGATAGAGCTTCCGCTCCGACGCAGGTGGCGCCAATGGAGCGGAGAAGGACGTCGTAGATAACAGACACACTACTCCCCGTGATGGCGCCATGGTGTTGCTGTCTTTGCCTTTGGCTTCTTATCTAAGTAATTCTACTTCGTGTGCTAATTTTTCAATGACTTCTTTTTCTTTTCATGTTGAAGTTGATACTGCGTCTGCGACAACTGCAATAAACAGTAACTGAGATGAGTGAGAAGTCTCTTGTTACTCAGGAAAGCGAAAGCTCGCGCGATTTACGAAGCGGGCATCACCACGACATATTACGCAAAATACCAAGGCGAACTTGAAGCACAAACAACGTGCGAATCTGGCGGCGCATTCGAACTCAAGAGCTGCTATCGAAAACAATCAACACTTTCTTCGATCTTCATCGATGTTGTTATTATACGAATAACAAGAAGATTTGAAGAGCGTTAGCGGAGGTTGAGATTCATGTTTCTGAAAGCAGGTGCACTCGCAAGCCTGCATTCTACAGTGTTACTTCCTCAATCACAATGTTGACCATATTGACAACCTTCATGAGTCGTCGTGTATACCGCCAGGAAAGTAATCATCGTCATGCATTCTGTCGAATATCATCCCAAGACCGATATGCAGGTGATTGCGTGCCCGCTGCTGTTGGGCCACCGTTTCTGATATCGTCCCATGTGCGGTATGATCGGTCGTCACGTACACCTTGAGAGTTGCGATCTTGGGACGCTGGAGGAGCCGGAAGATCACCTCCCCGAGGAGTAGAGGATCTTCCTCCGCCGCCCCTGGCGGAAGAAGGGCGAACAGAATCATCAAAAGCATCCAAACGCCACGAATTACTTTGCCTCCGGGAACTAGACGAGTCTGCCGCTCCGGAAGACCCAAAACCTCCAAACGAATCATAATCTTGTTGCGTGCTACAACTAGAAGAAGACGTGCCAGCACTCGTCCTACCGCTTTTACTTCCAGAAGATGAAATCCCTCCATCACCTTCGAAAGACGAATCCGAAAAGCCTGTTGAGTCACTCGAAGAACTTTGCTCGTCTACCTTGTCGAAACCAGCAGCATCCTCGGAAAATTCAGACTGCTGCTTTTTGTCCTGGTTCGCCCAACTTCTATGAAGGAAGAAGGTCGAAACTACAACAGGAGATTCGTGGGCCTGATCTACTGATCTGCTTGTTCTGGTACTTACTTCGTTCATCATCATAGGGTATGAGTGCGGATAACATTAACATCATCTAGATCTACAAAAATAAACCTTTTGATATGCAAGAGCCGTTATTCGAAAGAGTTGAACAGCCTGCGTTTGGATCATGCGAGTGGACCGCGCTTGGACTAATCACAACAACGCTCCTCATAAGGAAATTTGATGTCTACAAGCTTGACTTCGACAACCTTTTTGTTCGGCCCGCTCATCAGGTCCGCCTCTGGTATTGTAGAGACCGCATCGTAGATCTCATGAACTTTGCTGCGCCACGAGCTGCCCATTGGCACTTCACGCGACAAAACTCCCAAAATCCATTGACCCCACTGAACATTCAGAGCAGCGAATGTAGTGGACGCTCCGACAACGAAAGCGGGCAACTGGAAGTGCGGGGGATTAGTTGTGAAAAGTCTTCCTTGAAATAGAAAAGATGTTCTCGTTGTTCTTCTCGATCGACGAGCATAATTCAACAATTTTTTGACTCAATGATCTGGGATCTCATTGATGTTGCCACCGGAACCGGCACGAGTAGAATTAAAAAACTCCTTACAGTGAGTGTGAGAAAAATAGAAAAGTACGAGCTTCACGCCCGGTGTAAGCTTGGCCCCAAGATGCCGCCTCAACAGTTGTCCGGTTCCTACGTAGGTCAAGCACCCAGCTGCGGTGCCGTAGGTCGTGGCACTATTGGTTATTTTGTTCTGTAACCGCGTTTCCTCCTTGGTAGGCGTGTATTCGCCAGCTTGACGCCATATCGAGAAATCCAATCTTGTTACCAAAAGGTGCTTGCTCATCCCCCCAAAGGACTTCCGAGCCGGCCACATGCGAGATGACCCGTCTCTGGAAGGACTATCGAACTTTAGATACAGCTACTAGAAGACGTTAGCATGGTGCTTAAGGGATCGATACATACTAGTACTAGGTATAGGTGCATAGCTTTTTATTTTTTGCATTCTTTCGATTTATACTTCCTTCTCTTTTCATCAACCTCCCGTGACGGTGAGGAAAAGAAAAGTATGTAAATTAAGTGCTGCATGTGCATGGAGAAATCCGTCTACTTATCTTCTAAATTTGAAGAGTAGAGCACTTAGCATGCTCTATCTAATGCTGCATTGAAAGGTACGTAGGCATCAGTAGTGGAGGAGATGTGCCTTAACCTAACACCAGAGGTGGACGAAGACGAAGCCGAGCCACCACCGAATACGTTTTGGTCGCCTACTCCGGAACCAGCATCTTCGCCACGACCGAAGAACGCTTCTGGGATATCACGTTCAGCAGGCATTTGCAAGGACAAGCTCATGTAGTTTTTGTTCTTTACAAAAAAAGAGGTTATATTCCAGCAGACGAACGTGTACGTGCATGTTCTTTTTGATGAAGGACAATGTTGCTACGTAGAATTTTTACCGCTTCCGTGGAAGTCGCCGTACCACGTCGGACGAGTAGCCAAAAATGCGATCATACCGTTTACGTTAATATTTCAAACTAAGCAAGGTGGATGTAGTATTCGATTTACTAGTTTTCCCTCTCAACTACCGATGCATAGAGGACAACTAAGGTATAAGTAACCAGATCCAAAGGAACAGAAATGACAGAGAACCGATACCGATACACACCGGAACAATGCATGCTCGTCGTCTCATTGTCATCAACAGGTTGTTGTGGTCTCCTACTTTTCATGCGTCCACGAACTGCTCGTGCTCCACAAAGTAGTTATTTCTCTCAGAATCTGGCTGTCAAACCGGAGCCATCGCGATTGATTAATTCTTGACGCACGTGAGAATCAGCCACAGATGGGAGTAAGTACTTCTAGGTCGGACTTCTTTGCTCTCGTGAAATTGAGAATGAACACTGACTCGTTAGTTCTCATCTTCATGTTGTAAATTCTTCGAATTAGAGGGCCGCCAAGTTCGACGAACGAAATTATAGGCTAGTACTGTAGAGGGGGAAAACGACGTGAAGTGGGGTAGGCTGAGGTGCCTTTATTATGCTAGAGGAGCGTTCTTGTCTTTATTCGGTATAGATTTGCTAGAAATCTGGGAGACGTTTTGAGAGGGGGAGGTAGGTTTCTTGTTGTACCAATAACTGTGGTGATCGCGCTGATTCATCATGGGCGTTCAACCTAATCTTTAGAAATCAAGTCTGGCCCTAGCGGAAGAGGGGCCAAATAACTCGGCTTCGAGCTGGTCGAGTGCTGTATCGAGCTCCGCCACCGGCTCCGCTTCGCCTCCATCATGCACGGGGACTTTGGTAGGGGATGTCCGTGATTGTCGCGCGGGATCCGCTACTTCCTGATGTGCACCGGATGTGCTTTTCCTCAAAAGGATGCCTCTCCTAGTACTTTGAGTAGTATCAGTATTCCTTATAGGTATGCCAACACCAGCAGATGATGTTGTTTCTGCTAATCGTCCACGTATTGACCTAGTCGAGCAGTTGCTGTCTCGCTTGCGCCTTGTTGTGTTGGGTACAGCTAGATGGACATTCCGATTCGCACGGACTGGAAGAGAACTGCGACCGGCGAGCGGCGCTCTATGTTGACTCGTATGTTGAGGAATAGCCGGATTTAGATTTAGCTGATGTTCTGTGGTTGTTCTTCTTGTTTGAAGACCCTCGTCATCTGTCGAGCTTGGTATGCCTCCACCACGACCTGCATCCAGTGCCGCGGGGTCACTATCGCTCTCCGAGCTATACGGCAAGCCGCGAAGGTGAATATCTCGTCGTCGGCGGGCCATCTCCTGCATTTCGTTGAAACTTGAGGTAGCTGGCGCGTACAAAAGATTATTTCCAGATGATCCAGCTGCAGCCCGATAGCCACGAGTAGAGGACCCTCGGGTAATAGTCCTAGAAGCAGCTGGTAATAATCCACCTCCACTACGACTTCCGCGCCGCGACCCGTCAAGATGAAATAAGTCGTTACTTCGCCGGTAAGTACCTACAATGGTTCCCCCTCCCGCACCACGTCTGGCGCTGCTCTTGTACAGCGTTGACGTCGTTGTTGCTGGTTGATACAGACTGTTTTCCACACCGGTTGTTCGTTTGCTTCGTTTTCCGCGACTTGAGGTTGGCACGACCCTTCCCTGTTCGTCGTCGCTGGCTGCAAAGCCCTCCTCCACGTCGGAGAGGGTGCTTGGATACACCTGTGCTAGCGACTGCTGTCTCCGCGGTCTGGTTTTTCTCCGGTGTTCGCGGTTGTCACCGCTGCAGTAGGCTCCAAAGATAGCGATAAGGAAGATGGCATGCATCGCGTAATTCGTAATCAGGAAGATCCATGCAGGAATACTGCTCCATTCGTCCAGACGCATTCTTGGACCCTCGTCAGAAGTTGCGCCAGACGGTAGCTGCCCTTGAGCTTGAAGGCCCCCTCCTGAAGTCGCGTGTAGTTGTGGAGCCATATGACCCGGACCAGGGTCGTAAGGGAAGGCGCCTCCTAAACCGGCAACGTTGCTTCCCCCCTGATTCTGGTACAGAATCATCGGTGTAGTTCCCCCATATGCAGCCGCCTGACCTGCTACAGGAACTGTGCCAGTCGCTCCTCCCGGTCGGCAGATGAGCGGGTAGTTGTTCACGAAGACGCCTCCAAACTTCATGCCCAACAGCACATGTCGGAACACTATGTCCATGCCCAATGAGAGCAATGTAATCAACACTGTGAAAGCGAATTTGACGCTGCCCAGGTCCCGGAATCCGTCGTGCATGTACTCCGTGTCGCACAGGCCCATGAAGAGGACCACAATCTTGAACAAATTAAAAAAAAGGCCCGCCACTGCGTTGAAGACGATCTTGCCAAAAACGTTGTTTCCCCAGTTCTCACGTGCGCAGGTCGTCTCCGTGCCGAACCTGGTAGGCGGCTGGAATCCGCGTTCTTCAGACGGTCCTGAAACGGACACCGGAAAATTGAGAGCGACCAGCAGGCACAGGCACGATACTAAAATCCAGCAATGCCAGATAAAGATCAAGTTGTGCTTCCAGCTCTCGCCCACAAATTCGAAACCGTAAACAGGCATCTTGTTCTCGTCAAGCTGTACACGACCGTACAGAAACTTCTTGATATTCTTGAAGTGACGAAAGTGACGTGCGAGTCTGCATGCTTCGAAATTTAATCCGAATCAACAAAAAACTCATAGTACTAGGCCTCGATGTAGGTAGCAGGGAAAGCAGGAGTTGCAAAACAATTATCTTCACGTGAGACCGAGCCCCGATAATGATATTGAAATCCTTGTCGAGAGGGATGAAGAAAAAGGGTAAACAGGTACAGACGAGGGAAGGTTGAATATTAGTACCAGGTAGTTGTAGTACAAAAAACAATAGTCGTTGGGGGGATCGAGCAGGAGTGCCTCTGACAACCGCTCCTCAAAATTCACTGGTCGTTGTTTGTAGAATGTGTGTGCTGCAAAGATCATCATGTTGAAATCCGACCGTCATTTGAAAAAACATCATGACGAACAAACTTGAAATTATGACGTATAGTGGAAAGACCTTGCTTCTTCAAAGGATTATGTCGTGTCTCATTTTTTTGATCTGATAGCTAATTTCTCACGATCGTTGTGACGCCGATCTTGTTATGTTTCCTTGTACGAGTAGATATCGGATCTTTTCTGTGCTTTGATCGAACTGAACCTCAAGATGTCGGATCTTCTTGTAGTTTGAGACGGTGCTAGACGCAGACGCTGCATCCAAAAACATCAATCCAAGCATTTTTTTCCTTTCCAATACAACTCAATAATATTTTTTTTTTTTGTATCGTGAGCGAGTTCCGATAAATCACAACCTACCTGCGTATATTGCAAGTGAGTTCCGATAAGTCAAAACCTGCCTACATATTTTCCGCGTAGCTACCGGCGTAGGGGGGAGTTCTTAATCTCCTTAACAAACTACGCTACTGCCCCTACGATTCCAAAATGGTCAAGCCTAGGAGCAAAGGCAGGGAAAATGACACACCTAGTACCTGCCACCCGGGGCGTTGCCCGTCTCCCCATTACGCGCTTTTTGTGAATGCTACGATTGGGCGGCGGAGCGCTGTCCGCTTAATCAATTTAAATATTTTTGGCCCTAGGTGGAGCTGCGCGGCAACTGGTTGCTGATGCGAACTAGAGGAATGTTTTTCACTAAGTAAGAGCATGCATGTTAGTGAAATTGGTGAAGGAACACTAAACTCTACTAGTTGCTTAAGGTTTTCCTTCATCTTCATGCGTCATTTTCTTCTTGTGGCCGGCTCCTCCCGCTATGCAGCCAATGAGAGAAAAAACAAAAAGCAAAAAATAGTCCCTGCAGATGATTTTGATTAGAAGTCGTGAAATTGAAATTTTTGTTTTACTTGTTGTAATATAATTGGATCATATCGATCATGGGACAATCTGAAGAAGGTTGTCAGAAATACGGTCGTTGGATGGAGTAGGTCGGTTTTGAAGAGTCTTACCAGTGCTATATTCTCTGATGGTGGACGAAATGTATTTTTTAGGAAGACTTGTTGAATCATGATTGTCGGCGCAAGAAGCGTGCTGTTGTCAAGAAATTAACTGAGTCGTTTTCTTCCAGTCCCAGTGCAAGCACTAGTAGTTTTTTTGATGAGTTTTTCTGCGCTGCAGAGAAGTTTTCTAATATAGCATGGCCCACTTGAGGTAACGAAGTTTACTCTTCTAGCAGAGAAGTCTTCTAAAATATTCATACATAGTGCGTTGAAAAATTCATCTTCGTTTTCGTTCATCGTCTCGTCTATAATTACTTACTTAGCTTTTCTTCCCTGCCTTCATTGCGGTCGTACTTGTCGTTTTTTCCTTCTTGCCCTCCATTATTTCGGCCAACATCTTCTTTACTTTTGGTGCGGCACGGTCGATAGCATTCTTTCCCGCTCGATCTTTTTGCTTAGCGGCAGCGATGACAATGTCTCTGTCGTACTTCTCCAGAAAAAACTCTACTGCACTCGTCGCTTCGATCTCTCCAGCCAATCCAATAGCATTGGTTTTATCTGAAGTGCTCACTTTCAAGATGTCACACACCTTAAACAGGAACGAAAGGCAGGCATTCTTCTTGAGGTGCACACCACTTAGAGCCGCCGCCTCGTCCTCTACCGTAGCAGTTTGTTTGAGAGCGTGTTTCTTCAAAGCGTTTCTCTTTGTGGTCTTTTTCGTGCTTGAAGCTCCTCCGTTCTGTCCATCCAGAGCAACTTCTTCAGATGCAGAAGTGGATGTCGATCCACCGTCGATGCCCTTCTTCGGCGGTGGCCACGCTTTTACGGCCTCCGCCAACGCTTCCTCGCTCCCCACAGTGTCAGCCCATAACGCTTGACGCACCAGCATCTCCGGGCGCGCCTGCAGCAGTTGCCCCAAACCGACTAACAGCGGGTTGATCGTCTTCCACTCCTCTTTTGGTAGAAGGGCTTCCAGTTCTACACGCGTTTTCTCTGCGTCCTTCAGGTTTTCAGAGGTCCAACCCAGTTTCGGGCACAGCTTGTGAACATGGACATCCACGCAAATGCCGCTATCACCTTGGCCAAATGCCTCTTGGAGAACGAGGTAAGTCATTTTCGGCCCGACCCCAGGCAGGGCAAGCAGCGCTTCCTTGTCGCAGGGCACTCGGGAATCGTGACGATCGTGCAAAACCTGCGCGGTTTTCACGATATTGGCCGCCTTTTGCTGATGAAAACCCACCTTATGGATCATGTAATCGATTTCGTCCTCCGTCATAGCCAAAATCTTCGCAATATATGAACGGACGAGGGAGAGCGAGAAGGTGGGTGTGGGAGACCGAGACAGCCAAGTTGTAGAAGTGATAATGAAGAAGTCCTTTTTACCTGGCTGCTTAACATTCTTCTTAATTGAGCTTTCTAAGTACAATCAACGACAACGAATTATCAATTACAGGCGTCATCAAATCAATCACCCCGAATCATACAACCGACAGGCTTCCTTGAAATGACTCGAAGCCCGCCCTTTTTACATCGAACGCTTTCAGGTTTTTCATGGCATCGGCTGTATAAACGTCTTTCGTTTGTGCTGACAGCATAGCGGCCACGAGGTGGTGGAAAGGAGCGTCGGGAGAGCCCTCATCAGCGAGCATGTTGCATCCGATAATATCCACAGGAGAGTTTTTGTCCGCACGAAGAACTTTCAGAGTCCAGAGCTTCTCGCGAAGTTCCTCAGCTGAAATTGAAATCATCTTGCCCTTCTTTTTCATCGGGACACTGACCCTCTGCTGCGGCTTGTTGTTGTTCTTGGTCTTCGCGGTAGAAGCTTGAGAAGAGGACGCAGAATTTTTGCTTATTTTGGATTTCGACTCTGCTACACCTTGCTTCTTCATAACTTCTGGCTTGATCTTGTTCATGACGGCGTTTTGTTTTTTCGTGTCCTTCTCTCTGTTGCTTTTGGAAACTGCAATTGACTTTGCATTAGCAGTAGAGAATGACGATGCTTTCACTTTATTCACCTTTGCAAGAAGCGTTGCCTTAGTTCCTTTCATCGTGCTGGTCATCTTCATCGACGGCTTACCAATGTTTGTTTTTTCCGAAGATGTACTAGTTGCCGACGACGCGACTTTCTCATTTGCTTTTTTCGCCAGGGATGTTCCAGTACCAGTCTCTGTTTTGGGTGCAACAGCGGTTTTCTTTACCGTCTTCCCCGCTTTAGCTCTGATGCTCGGAGAGGAAGACTTCCCTGCTTTAGCTTTGATGCCCTTTCCCCCCGCGGTTGAGGCCTTCACCTTCGGTTTCGCAGTTGCAGAAGTGTTTGAAGTCTTCGCCACAGCAATAGTAGGGTTTTTCTTCGCACCATCACTCACAGTAGCCTTCTTCATCGATGCAGCTCCTGAAGCTATCGTCAAAGCAACAGCTCCTGTTGTACCTTTCGTGGTTTTCATGACTTGCATCTTCGAATTTCCGCGGGTTGGAGTGGGAACGGCTGTCACTGACTTTTTTGCAGGTCCAGCAATAGACTTGTTTTTCGCTGGCGCCGATTTGGACACGCTTTTCGAAGCAGGTTTAGCTATTGCTTTCTTCATTTTTGGAGATGGTTCTAATATTAAGATTTACATACTCAGTTTTACGCTACCACGAGGCGGTAGCTTTATTTACGAAATAAAGTAGCGATATATTTATAATATATTGAGACGAGATTGCGTACCAGATCGACTTAAATTTTTTTGAAAATCAAAAAGTAAAATGAAAATGAATTATAATTTCCGATGATTTTCCGAACTAAATGATCTGGATGTCTTCCTGGTAGCTGTAGGCAATCGACGACATTTGTTGAAGCAGAATACGGATGATTCATAGGCTTACTCAGGAAATGTTGTTGAGGTTCCATGGTACGGCTGCTATCATGCCAAGTCTTGTAGTTGTCGGCTCGAGGGAAAGAGAAAGTTCAAGCTTTTCATCCAAAATGGCAAGGGATTCCTAAGTGCACGTGGTGCCATAGCCGTTCCTAAGTACAAGTTGTGCCATTTTCTCCAACATCTATTTTTGTTGGACGCTGAGGTCAGCTTATTATTTTTGATGTTGGTACTTTCTTTGCACCGACTTCTTAGAACTCAGACCTCTTTCAAGATTCAAAAAGGCTGCTTGCCTGACATTTACGGCTTGTCGTGTGGGGTCGTTGATAGAGCGTCGCCACCCATCTGTCGCACGACTGGTCGTAGCCAGCCGCATACCGGACACACAGGCTGTCCAACCATGGGAAGTTCCATGTTACTTAGTATCCTATCTAGATCATCATCTTCATCGATGTTTCTTTTATCACCTGCATCTTCAGGTTCCTCCAGCAGACCTCTACCTCCCGAGGACGAGTCTTTTACTTCGCGCGTTGAAATAGTCTTTGCAGAGCTAGATGAAGCATTGTTTGCATGTTGCCATCGATCGAAGGACAGTTGTTGTTCAAACCCGGGATCATGTGAGTGTGAAGCTGAGGGTAGCAACCGGAGTATTTTGAGTAACACGTCCTCACCTGAAGATGAAATCGCGGCCGCTTGGCTGGAGGCCGTTTTCCCTCTACCAGGAACTTCTTGTGGATTAAAAGCAGGAGCAAACCGACAGACCACACCACAATCACATTGCCAGACCGTACTATCGCTCCAATGACTCCCGCACGCAGTGCAGAAGGCTGGAGGCTCAGAGTCCTCCATTGGAGTGTTGCTGGCAAGACTGCAATGACAGCAATCCCAGCTTACACAAGAAGGGAAACTCGTTGGTCCCTGTACGTATTGCTTGTGATCGCTGACAATTTCCGCCAAACCTTGAAGTGTTGAGTCTGTCGACGTGAGAACCGCAAGAAAATGCGTGGCCGAGTGAAGACCCGCGAACCCGCTAGAGACGCAAATTTGAGCCAAAAACTGCCGCAAGCGTCGCAGCTGGTTTTGGTCGTTGCCACCTTTGCCGTTATCCGTCGTGGTGCCTGATGAAGATGCTGAAGTATTCATGTTAAAATAATCCCGGTCTGGATGATCGTTCTTTTCTTCTTCCTCGACTGCATCTCCCTCCTCATCCATTATTGCGAATCGAGATGCTAACGCGCCACTTTTGTAGGCAGCGTGCATGCTCTTGTTGGAATTCGAAGAGGTAGCCACCTGCTTATCTCGGACTGACGTCGTTGACGCGCACCCGTGGCTTTGCGGAACTCCTTCTGCTGCAGCAGCGTGTGTGTTAATTTCCACAACAGAGTCTGCTCCGACTGCCCGTTGCAAGATGTGGAGCCAAGACGTCACGTCAGCACGCGTCAGGCGCCACCCACCTCCTCCTGTTGTTGTAGATTGCGCTGATCCATACCCAGGATGGACTGTTGGCATTGCAACCCTGCAAAAAATTGCTGTGCGTTTTATGAACCTTTCTACTTCTTCTCGGAGGGATCCTGAATCTTCCACATCAACTGTTGCAGCACATTCTTGCTGCTTCCAGTCAGACAGACAAGGCGCAATAGCATCGCGAAAAAAGTCTTCTTTGTAATCTGGAATACGCCCATTATCGTCAACAGGTGGCGGATCTACATACTCCACAGTCGAATCTGCAAAACGGACCAGGCGAGAAACGAGGAGTCCACCTGAAGAAGAGCTTGCTGCATCACTCTCCTCGTTTGTTCTACCACGACACCCAGCGTTGTAATTTTCATCTTGATCTTGATCATCCAAGAAACGGAGACAGTAGTACCATACTGACGTGTCCTCCGACATCCTTATGTGTAGAATTTGCACATGATGTGATTAATCTACTTGAAAAGTGCACAAAAAATGGCAACTACTCAGTGACAGTGTCATCTATACAAATTAATACTAGTTGTAGTATCTAGAAATAGTGCCCGGGTGGAAATTCGTCTTCGTTTTATTAAACGGCATTATTCATTATGATTACCCACCAAAACACAATGACAAGCTGCTGTGATGTCGATGCGTTTTGGTAGTAGATGCGTTTCGTACTTGTTGCTTCAACAGGGAGTAACTTTTTGATACTGATCCATTTCTTTGTTTTTCTTGCTTCTTGCCACCTCCCTAGAACGAAATAATTTGTCCTCGGTGAACAGCCTGATGTTATTTGTGAATGACAGAAGCAACGACCAGAGGATACTTGAGACACGGTAGGCGGAAACGCACAAGCATGCAAGCAGCACTAGCACGTAGTACTTTCATCAACCACACCTAGGCAAGTGGTTGCTCGAAAATCACATCATTAACATGACCGCACCCAGTACAACGTGTTGTTTTGGTGTTCTTAAATGCATCAAGGAGCACTCTCTTCAACATGATTGTGGATCATCACCCGACTTAGTCGTGTATACGACCCGCTGAAGTTAAAGAAGCGCAGCACTACGCGGACGCGGAGGAGGTCTTTGTGATCTACTAGTGTTAAAGATTTCTCGCAAAAGCGAACTGCTCGTAGCGCGTTGCTCTGCTGCTGCGACACGAATGGCGAATGGGTGATCATCTCCAGTTGAAGTTGTGTCCTCTTCACCACGACCAGGAGCAACCGTAGTGAATGTGCCGGTCTTAGTAAGAAGGGCGCCCTTACTATTGTTTTCTCCTCGTCGAGATGGACGAGTAAGGTCTCCAGATGAAAATAAGTCCTCCTGAGGCAGGTATGCTGCGACTTCTGCCTGTTTCATCCAGATGTCGGTCAGAAATTGGTTTTTTGTGACAAAAGTATCGATCTTGGCGCCTTGAAAGCCGCCGCGCTCCACGATCTGTTGTGCGGCAAGATTCGTCCGCAGTTTCGTAATCAGGTGCTCTCCGTATTTGGATCGATGTTGAGGCTGTCCGAAAACACGATCATAGCGTCCATGAAGATCATCCTCCTGATGATGTTTGTAGCTGATGTGCGCATCGGTGGCTTGTTCTGCTACAACCCTGTCATCTTCGAGCCACAATAGTGACGGGTCAGGTAAGAGTTCACGCGGATGAAGATTTTCGTCCAGCGGCTCACTCTTCTGCGTCCGAGGACTCGTCTGATCGTCGTCTTCAAATTTTTCAGCTGCATCAACCTCCTCTACAAGGTGATGTTGACTTGCAAGCCCATCTCTTGATAGGGTCTTTGCTACTGCTGATTGTTGAAATGATGTTTGGGTTCCTCCACGATGTCTTGCTACGTGGTCAGTGCCATTGAGGTTGATCGTGCTCAGCGGCCCGCCGCCCGAGTCGCGGAAGTAGAAATCCTCATGCCTCCTGCAAGGACCGCAAGTCGAAAACCTAGTAGTCGTGTCGTTCTGTTTTCGCCTCTTCTCGATCTCACGTGCTGCAGCTGCGCGATGCGCCCGCAATTCTTGCAACAGAGTCGCCATTTCGGTTCGTAACTGAATATCCCGCTCGCGCCATTCTTTCTTCACCTTCTTCCTTCGCTCTTCGGGAGATCGCTTGCCCTCATAATCGAAGTCGTTGGGTCGCAAATTCACGATGGGCACAGCCTCTTTCTCTACGACTATGTCCCTAGCAGTTTCCGGCGTTATATCTCCAGCAGTCGAGGAATGCAGCGAAGGAGAAACGGAAACCCGAGCTTTGGATTGGATTAACTGCTGTGCTGCTGATGGTTGCGCGAGGACTGCTTCTCCATCCTTCTCCTTTTCGTGTTCCTGTTTCCCTTCTCTTCTATCGCTATCCTCGCGGTAAAAAGAGAACAAACTGTACTCAGTTTCATCCACATAATTGAGAACTTCTTCGGTCTCCATCGCTCGCACGAGATCGTCACGTATGCGCGTGTGTCCGGGAATCGGCAGACGCGAAGCCCACGTGGCTGGACAGGCGAGTCTATCATCTTCACGGCGACCTATGGTCGTCTTCTTGAACAGTAGGGAATCAGCATGCGGCCTTTCGTGAAAGAAACTCGCTTCGCTCTCGTCGAAGTCGAGAGGCCGCGCGCACAGCCACTGCTGCCGGTCCTGCAGGCGGTGGAGCCTCGCGAGCCAGGTTGAGAAATCGACTTCATGATCTTTTCGTTGAACGTCCTCTTTCGCATCCGTCGTGTTTCCTCCATCGCGATCACGTTCTTCATCCTGATGTACGTCCTGGTCGCTTCGAGGGCTACCGCAATCTTCGCTACTCACGATGTCGCCGTATCCGGCACCCGCCCCCTCTCCTGCGCGAAGCTCCGTCTTTTTTCCCCTCTTCGGACTTTGGTCCTCGAAGTCATCGCTGTATATATCATCCACATCGCTACTATTAAGCCTATGACGCGGTGGCCCGCGTCCTTCTGCTACTTCTAAACGAGAAGAAGTAGCCGCGACAGCCTTTGACTTGATGTCGTTAGCAACCGCAGCGCTATCAACTCCTCGAAGGATAACTTGTTGAGATTCCTGCTCAAACTGCCTAGGCGAAACAAACTCGACATTTCGCCAATAATTCGGAGGGTCATCGTTCTTGGACGCGTTGCGAGATGACAACTGTTTTGCAGACGTGGTGCCGCTTTTCAAGTCAATCTTCTGCCAAAGCGATCGTAGGACATCATTCTTGTTTCCATCACCTTCGTGGGTTTGGAAAGTAGCCGCCTTAGCCACCACGTTAGTATTTCTACCTTTTGTTCCTCTCGTCCTAGAATACACCATGATTTTATTCTATAAAGCATGATAGCTCGTGGACAATGTCAGCTTTGAACAATGCTTGAACAGTAGGGACGACGATCATGATGTTGTCGACGCAAAGTAGAAGACAATTGAAAAACTACATATTTATAATCTCTACATAATTTTTTCCTCCTCTTCTTCAGCAACAACTCAGCTCTTGAAGATTTGCGGTTTTCCAGGGATTTCTTTGGATAGTCATCTTTAGCCTTTTTGAAATACACGCCGACAAATCACAATGTGCGTGTTGCACAACACGCGCGGCACGCGTGCAGTGCATCCATCCACTGAAGTGTGTCTTGGGTCGATCATCATGTCGAACGGTCAGTCGACTCCAAGTTGAAGGCGGAATATTCAAAAGCTAATGCGGTGCGATGCCGTCACTGGCAAGTCGCGGCACCAGCGGATTTCGCAACCATGCCTAATATTTCAACGAGTCTTTTCCTTCGGAGGTGAGGTGTGATGTCTTCATAATTGGGGAAAGCAAGGAGTCGCTCGAGAAACAATCGTTATGAGGAGGGACAAGAGGGTTTTCATGCTTCCGAAGTTCACGGGACACCGCCATTTTCGTGGCCCGGAGCAGGAAGTTCAGTTACGAAGAGTAAACAGGGGATGAGAGGTGGACAGTGAAGTAGCTCCAGTGCGTAAAAATTCTCAAATACTTAGAACTCCTGTGTGATACTAGAACAGATGACGGCGCCATCTGCTCGTGGACACCTACTAAAACGAAAGTTAGCAGACTAGATTCCAATTTAAGTGAGCTAGTTCTTGTCTTTACCGCCATGTCATCGAACAAGAAGAGTGTGTCGTTTAGGCCATCTGCTGAAGACAAAGATGAAGGACTCATTCTGACTTATTGATCTGAATGCTCATTATAGATCGTGACTGATCGTCATGAAAGCAAATAAATTTTCAGAGGTAATAAAAAAGTGTTTGTGTTACATGTTCTTCGTATGTATTGCATAACAGCAAGGCTCTGCTAACATCCACAGATGCGAAAAACTGAAGGGTGGAAAGACTCCTAGTTACGAAGTCAGCTCAGACATTAAGTCGGACCTACCAATAACAACTCCTTGTAGTTCTCCAGTCTTCATCATGTTGGTTCTACTTATCATGTTCAGATGATCTTCCATAGATGCACGCATGTACATGTAATTGTTGCCTCCTGATAAAGAAGTCTTATTCTAGGAATCAATCTCAATGTAACTTTCTTATCCATCCAAAGCAGGCTCGTGTTGCCTGGTTACAACTAACACATAAGTAGACATCACTCTACGGCTCAAAGACATGAAGACCAGTTTTATGGTCACAACCACAGGCAGCAAAATAAACGGAAAATTACAGCTACGTACGACCAAATATTTCGAGGTGTTGCGGCTAACACGGTTTGTACAGTATGCTTGATCTACGATGGATCTGCTAAAAATGAGCCGCACAAGAAGAGAGCAGGAGAAGTCGTCGGGGTGGTAGGCAGGACGGGCCAGACTAAGGAAGTAAGATCGCAGGAGGACTTTACCTCATCACGACCATCCGTTAGTCCTTCGTAGCAGTGGCAAGAGAAGTTGTGCTTTGCTCACGACTCTTTCTAAATTTTTGTTCCTGGAGTTTGCGCAGTTCAGCTAGTGCGCCCTTCGCGCCATCATCTTCAGTTGGCGACGCTGCGCTCTCAAGTGACGCTTCCTCTGTAGGAGAAGCAAAGCTACTAGCGCTGCTGCTCTTCGACATTGCTGACATAGCAGCTCCTCCAGGAAGAAGTGCTCCGCTTTCTTCTACAACTCCTACTTGTCCTCCTCCCGCAACCGCATCTGCTTTTCTTTTATCACCTCCACTTTGTTGTCCCGGGTCCGCGATTTTCGTGGGTCTTATTTGTGCCTGTTGCTTTTTAGAAGTTGAAGCTGCTGAATCGTCAGGTAATGCACCTATTTCTGATGTTGTAGTGCCAGGCTGCTGAGCTGCAGTTGAAGAGGACGAAGACAGCACAGGTTTAATACTAGATGTTGCGCCGCATGAAGAAAGTACTGCACTGCCACCTGCAGGGGTTGGAATATGCAGCTTCGGTGGCGCTACATTTTCCTTTCCTTCGGATGCCACTGCCGCTGCTGAGGAAGAGTGTGGCGCGCCAGCAATTGCAGCAGAAGCCGTCTTCTGCTCCCCGCCTTGAAAAGTCTGTAAAGTTTGGACTAGGTCTTGAAACGCACCGAGCGTCACCAATAACTCGGAGCGATTGTCATCTACAGCCTGCGCTTGTCCTTGTTTTATTTCAGTTACTGCTCCGTTGCCGTTCAGAGACGATGTTTTCCCAGCGGTTATCTGCTTGCTCGCGCTAGAAGCTGCAGTGCCAGCTGCGACAAGGTCACCTGGCGACGCAGCCGTTGATGCTATACCTTCTAGGGGACACGCCATGATGGGGTGCTGACTTGTAGTTGTTGTCAATGGCGGCGAGCCATTTGCCATGGACTTTGCTAAATCGACAGGCCCTTGGCCGTGCCCTGCGGCGCCTGTCGTGCCTCCACTTGTGCTCACTGGTTCTGCGGCCGAAGTCGTGGTCGCTTGAACTCCTGCAGTCGTTACTGGAATGGAGGCAACAGGAGCGTCGACTGGAACTCCGCTAGTCGTCACTAGTAATTTCTGCAATGATTGGATTTGCAACGTGGTCTGCTGGACTTGCATTTGCCGCAGCCAAAAGGCCTGCATATTTGCCAATTGCGTTGCTGCTTGATTGGCTTGCTCAAGAGCGCAATTCAATTGCTCCATACGCCGTTGGTGATGTACGTGCTGCTCCTGCATCATGGCGCCTCCTAGTAACAAGGAACCGCCAGGAAGCATAGACAAGCGGCTGGCGAAGTCCGCGAACGAGGTTGGCGTGTCTCCCGATTGTGTTTTATTAGCAGAGGTAGGAGAGAGTGGGGCCGCTGACGTTGTGGGTGGCGCGTTGCCAAGAAGGGGATTCCCAGACGAGAAGGCAAATGGTGGACTCCGGGAGGAAGAGGATGCACCTGCGAAAGGCAAATTTCCAGGAGAGGACGATGGAGAGAGGCCGGCATTCGCTTGCTCCGCACCTTTTCCTGGCATGGTTGAAGTTGCAAGTGCTGGAGGTCGACTTCGCTGTGTCTTGCTAAAACTGCTGCTGCTGCTCGTCGAAGATGCTTGCCCCTTGCTCGTCGGGGATAGCACACCACCTTGCTGCACAGGTGTTGCGGAGCTTGAAGAAGACGAGGCTCCTTCGGTTCCAGGATAAGCTTCCCTAGCAATCTGATCTCGCAGGGTGGCGCCAAAGGGCGACTCAATAACTTGCGGTGCAGGCGGTGGGTCTCCGCTCTGGCTTGAACCTCGTCGTCTCCTGAGCGTACTCTCGCTACCATCCGTTGGGTCCGCCTTTTTCGCAGCCTTTTTCGATGATCCAGCGAAGCTCTTCTTCTGGCTGCGTGAGGACCTAAAGATTTTCAAGACAACACGAAAAAACATGTTGCACTTTGTCAGTTCTTGCATCTTATAAATATTTCCTTCTTTGGAGATCATCCAGTGCACGATTAGACACGAGATCATGAAGATGACAACAAGAACTGCGACGTGTATTGTACAAAGATAAAAATATCATGCCAACATTATTCATTTTGTATATGTACTAGTGCAAGAAGTTCTTACGTGTCAGCGGCGGCCGATGGTGTCGTGCGACGGCTCTTTCCAGGTGAGCTAGGTGCAGGTGCTGCAGGGGGTAACTGGAGAGTGTCGGACTTTGTGTTCACACTGGGCGTCTCAACCTGCTAGTAGTAGATTGTGAAAAAAGTATGGATCTGCAAGAATCATCATAAGTGAAAGTGATTCATCTTGCCCCCTACTAGTGCTACAATTTCATCATGATCATTTTTTTCAGTAATCAGAGTAGAAGTACAACTATGACTAACCTGCGTTACCTTCTTTGAAGACGCTTGGGGAGTAGGGGCGGCAGATGGCGTCCTCTCCGGGGCCCCTCCCGCGGCCGCATCGGTAGCATTGACTGAATTATAGGTCGGTGTCGGAATGGGCGCATCTTTAGCGTCCTTTTCCTGCTCTATGGGTGTCGCATTGTTCTCTGGTCTAATAGGCCGACCGGCCTTGATATCACTTTCGCGATATGCAGCGTTAAGCTTTTCCCTCTCGATGGGGATCTCACTACGGCAGGTAGGGCACACTTGTTGCATTACCTGAGGATTATTTCTTTTTTCATATATTGGTGATATTATATCACGACAGTAACATGGACATGATGGATAATTTTTTGCTCTTCAAATTCACAATGATCCTCTTCCTCGTCATCCCAGTAATTCGCAATCCGAAGCAGATGAATGCACTTAGATGAAGTATTAGAGATGCTCATCTTGATCTTCATCATGGTCTTAGAATGATGATGAATGGTCTTATCATTTTCTCGTAATTCTTATACCAGCCATGACTTCAAGCAATCGACATGGAAAATATGATTGCACGGCAATATAACGCTCCCCTCGTCAAGGTCGTCACGGCAGATGATACACGTCTCAGCAGCTTCCAGTTCTTTCTTCGACGCTTCTCGAAATTTCGTCTCGAAATCAGCCATGATGAGGCGGTACCTATATGGGTTTTATACGTTGCTGCAGAGAGTGAGAGTGCATTCAATGATAAGCGAGACCAAGGTCTTTAAAAGGAGAATGTAGAAGAAGCAAAATGTTTCGATAGTTTCAAGGAACTGCTCAAGGTGTAAATTAGATGACGAGAACGAAAAGCAGAAACAGTGAAAAATACTTTCGAAAGTTGCGTAGCCGTGTAGTAAGTTGGCGCGCGACTTGGATAATATCGGCCATCATGTAGATTGGCAGCCTACTCGGGTTCTGGATGAAGAAGATGCTCATGAAGCATAGGAAGATGACCATGGAAACCACGTCTCCAAGTAATTCCAGATAGAAAATGTAGGCTGCTTTGCCTGGCCATCCATGCTCCAAGGATGTATCGATTAGGTGCAGCACATACCTGTAACAGGAAAGTAGAAGGTTGGAAGGAAGTGTACTACGAAAGAATTGAAAAAACTATGAGAGAGTTCCAGTTCTTCATGATCCTGTAGTACTAGCGCTACATATAATTTGAAAGCACATGGAAATCTTCGAAGAACAATACTTCAGGCCCGTGACGGAGAGCATCGCTGCCATTGAGCACGCTTCGAAAAGAATCCATGTGTAAAAGGTGCTGTGCTTTCCCGCTGCGCCGTAAAACCGGTCTAGAATTACGAGATCTGTGAGTAATAGCATTCCCATCATGACTGCGAGCTTTATTTTGACCGACCTTTTCGGGGCACCTATTTCGAACATATGTCCAACGCGGATCTGCGAAATTAAGTGAAACATCTTCAGAAAGATGATTCCCACGATAAATTGCATCAGGGCCAGTGTGGCGACCTCCTTCTGGTCGATTGTCGGCGAATAGAACACCAAGAACAGAATCGTGTCCGCAACGAATCCACGCCCGCTGTCAATCAGCTGCTCCACTTCCAAATCCCGGAGACGCCCTGATGAACGAAAAGACGTTGATGAATACAATGGGAAATAAGTACTTACTTATAATTTGAAAAACTTTTGATCATAGCTGTAGTTCGAACAAGACCACGCACGACGTAGAAGTTGTAGTACATCCACGTACTTATTCCAAATCTTCATCTTCAGGATGATCTTGATGTTGATCAAGAATCTAAGTCAACAAAGTTTATTTGAAGAAGTTGGTTATACCCACGAAGAACTTCAGCGTCGCGTAGCCGAACATGAGAAAGCAAGAGAAGACGAAGTTGTACAGGACTGCGAGCGAAACCTTGTCGCTCGCCAAATGTATTACTGCTGGATAAAACTGCTCATGCACGCCCCACGCATGCAGGCAGTTGACGACAGCAGCCGCCAACGAAAGCACAAAATACGATGACAACTTCATCTTCGACGTCTCGTAGTTTCAGGAAGCAGCTCTCAGGAACAGGAATAATGTCCTATACGTATACGCTGTGCAACAAGCATGACCACAAGTATCCGTATGTAGAAGTGAAGTGTTCAATGGTGCTTGAAGAGGAACTCGTCAAACACTTAGACATCTCATCTAGAGGTAGAGCAGGAGCTCCATTTTAGGAACACAGCGACCGCACGCGCGCGCGCACACCAGCGTAGAAATAGTAATAACTCTCGTCCGGAGTCTCCGCTGTTGCTAACACGACGACAATCTATTAGGTAGATCGTGTCGTCCTCCGCATGACTTTCTTGATATCATTGCTACTTCTAGTAAAAATCTCGGGCCATCTAGTCGTGGAGCTACTACTAGAAAAATTAGCTTTTCTAAATGAGGCAAGAAGATATTCCAGGGAAGTGGTGGGTCAAGGTCATCTAGAAATACAAGTTGTTAGCAATGAAAACTAGTAGTGATAAAAACGAAGACGAGGGCCTTTCTGAGGAATCTAAAGATTTGAATCTCTGTGGAGGACGAGGGCTGGGACGAGGTGGAGGTGAGGGAGCGGAAAACAACAAAAGGGGACGATAGCCATGATGAGTGCCTGATCGACATTGAAAGATGGAGAAGAGATGTAGTTGTAAGCGAGGATTATACGAAATGAATGCTGTTGCCGTCCTAGAAATGCCGACGTAGTAACTGCATCGTATGATTCATCTTGTTCAGGTGATGTGTGCTGTAACTACTATCACATTGGCATCCTCTTCAAGTTATTCGCATTTTCGAACAAAATGTCGGTGGAGGTGTTCACACGAAAAATTTCATCTTCTCAGTCAGAACACTCATCAGTGTAGATCAGCGGACACGATCGACGATCGGTACTATCTACAACTTCGTCGAGGATCCTCTCGATTAGGATTCACGATTTTGAGCCACGCGCTATGAAACTGAAGATGATGACGACGACGACCTTGTGGCTCTATCTGAAAATCTAACGTTAATATTCTCATTGTACGCCCTCGCTGCCGACAATTCCGACGATGGCATTCGCATTCTGGGCTTCGAGGTTGTCGTTGCCGATTATAGCAACAAATCAAGACCAGCGTGACGATTCGGCTGCCTCGATCACGCTCCCCGACAGTAAAATCATCTAACTGATCACCATGCGTCAATGATCTCTTGTAGGTGTCTTTTCACATTCACATACGCCCTCGAAAGGCCGTGATATCTTCTAGTTAGCACATGACAGACATGGGTGTTGTAGTAGGATTAGGTTTACTGTTGTGTGAACAATCGTTTTCGTTATGCTTCTGAAACAAGTATTCGAACGAGTCATGCTGTGGCTGTAGGTGTAGCATTACTATCTACTTTTGTCCAAACAAAATAAACAAGAAACGGCTGCGAACAAGCCAGAATATTGACTTGCAAACATTTACGTGTAGTTATATATTCAGTGATTTTTAACAAGCTCAATACTAATAGGGTAGTCACCTCGATGGATTGTGATCTAGGTTGTAGAAGTATGTTGTTAAACGCAAAAGGTCATGATGTTGTCGCTGATGTCTAGTTGGAACTATAATAATCTTCTAAGTAACTACGTACCTACATGCTTAACGAATAAGAAAAAGAGAGTGTAACAGACAAGCACAAGGGTTTCTAGATGCAGATGCACAAGGGCTCTTTCATAAGTAAGATGCTCCTGGTGGATGTACTTTATCATTTACATTTTACGAAAGTGAATCTTATAACTATACAGCGATGGCTAATATCATGTATGAATTACTAGTGCGTACGGTTGACAGAAGATGAACAAATAGATTTATGAATGTTGTCGCCAAAAACGCGTTAACAAAAACATTCTTAGTACTGATTAGATGTCGTCCATCCTTCGCATTGCAGCCTCAAGTTCAGCGTCCATGGCTTGTGAGTCCATGCTTCTATTCAGGGGCTGAGTGCTGTGGCTGTCGCCCAATGACGTGGCGGAGGATGACGGGAGATGATTGAGTTCCCGAGACGAGTCTGCGCGCGTGAGGACATCACGTTCCGTGGTCGCGAAGGATCCCGCTACTTGCTCTTCACTCGACCCATCGTCACCTAGAATATCACCCCCGTTGACAGTGGTTGCTGACCACTCATGATTCTCTCCCTGATCAGCCTGCTCAGAAGTATTTTCATCCGTCTCCTGCTCCTCTTCGTCATCATTGTCGGCGGGAGTTCTACTATCGCCTCCTTCTGAAGATGACAAGTTGGTGGTGCTGGCAACGATGTCCTCCTGCTCGTCGCCATCGTCCTGGGCTCCTGTAGCTGTATCGACGTCAGCTACTGTACCAGTAGGAACATCATGCACAGCCTCATCATGTTGACCTTGCGGTTCTCCGTCAACTCGTCGGGCTGTTCCGGAAGTAGCTGAAGCTAGCATAGCTTCTTCTTGCACTTCGTCGACGCCTCCTTCTTCAACTTCTTGTCCTGCCGCCCTCCCTTCGCTTTCGTTACGTGTGAAAGCGCGGGATGAAGATGACGACGAGGAAGACGAAGATGTCGCAGACTCACCCAAAATACTAGAATTGTTTCGACCTAGAACACTACTTCGAGAATGGCTTTGTTCCCGCGACTCCCCTGATAGGTTATTCTGGGTTGGTGTTGATGCCGACGAAGAAGCTGCGGATGATGAATATGACGGTCGCTCAGAAGCTGCAACAAAATTGTTTGAAGCACTTCTACCAGCGCTACTAGTGTTACTTCGGGCCCCTAATATCGACGAGGCAGCACCTGAAGATGATCTCAACTGTGATTCCTCCAATGAACTATAGCTATGCGATTGTTCAACACTCCGCGAGTGGGAAGCAGAACGACTTGCAGGCACTGAACCAGCATGATTGTCCTCTTCGAAGACTTTTCGGGTTTGCGTTTGTCTAGTGCCATCTTTCACGAAAGAAAACTTCCCAGATGAAGATGATGATGTTGATGACCGTCGATCGGCAATACTATTACTATGTCCTTTTTCCGGCAGAGTGCATTCTTCTTGTGCATCTTCCACTCGAGGCGCTCCTTCGTGTTCTCCTTTATTTTCTACATCTACTGCTGCAGTTGCTGTTTGTTCTTTATCTTTACTTGCTAGATCAACCTCCTTCTCAGATAAATCCTCTTTTGACCGCAGCTGAATAGAGGCCTCTGCACGGCTGGCAGAAGCGTCAGGAAGCGACGACAGCTGACTGATTTCCGGCTGCAGCAAGTCTTGGTTCAAGAACTCGGTTGGCTCCTCAAGTTCTTCGGCTCGTGTTCTTAGTGGCAGAGTTGGGCTGTCCGCGAGTGGTCGGAGACTACGCGCTTGTTGTGTTTCGTTACCTTCCTCGCCGACCAACGAAAAGCTTGCTCTTTCACTAGTATGGCGGACCTCATCAGCATCATCTTCTACTTTGTAGTCGTCGACAGAGAAATTCTTGAACAGTCGCCCTGCCTCGTCTTCTGTACTTGACGCGTGCAGCATAGCGCGATCATGTCGTCCTTCCAGTGGCGTTGGTGTATTGACGGGAGAGGCGGAAAGGTTGACACTTGGACTGCGCTCCTCTGAAGTTTTTACTGATGCACCGAGCGATCGACTTGACAGCAAATGTTCGTGTGCTGGAGTAGTTGCATTGCCGCCGCCAAGTGGAGCTCGTACAGGAGCGGTATTATCGACTATATGCTCTTCGATGATATCTTCTTGTTGTCCCTGGTCATCATCCTCACTTTCGTGAACCGATTCTGCAAGCTCTGCCCATTCTTCTGCGATCTCTTCCTCGCTTTTGCTTCCGCTGCCCACATCCTCGAAGTTCTCCTCATCATCGTTACCTAACAAGAGCAAGCCCTTTGCGGGCTTTTTCGGGCTATGGCGCTGGAACATGCAAGATGGCGAGACTGGTGCTCTTCGAGCTGCGTAGAAAGCGGTGCTATTATTGGAAACAGCAGACGAAGACGATGCGCTTGAAGAGACAAGCCCGAGCAGGCTGCTCGTCCGGACATCAGTGGCAGGGATTATAGATGAATTACTCACTGACGCCGATTGACTGGCTTCATGTCTTCCTCGAGCATCTCCTTCTGGGACCTGGAGGTTCTGCTCCCTTGCTGAAGATGCACGACTTGCGCGACTGCTTGCTCGGTCGTGCGAATGCCGAAGGCTTGTTTTTCCTTCCCGCTGACGCAATGGGTGGTCTCGCTGAACAAGATCTTTGCCCTCTGTTACTGTTTCTACTTCTCTACTTCCAAGACTTCCTCTTGTTCGCTGTGGTGGTCCCACGTCCAACATCGTCGTGCTGTGTGAGGGGCTTGTCCTTCCATACTTGGCCAAGACCTTTTCGTCTTCCTCTTGCCGCTGTTTTGCTCGGGCCTCAGCCTGGCGCAGATCGCCAAAGCCGCGGTCAAACGCCTGTTCGTTCAGCAAATCATCGACAAAATGATCGGCCGCATCTACGTTCAAGTCTCGGCCGTCGTGAGACGCGCTGAGAATGGAGAGGTCAGCCGTTAGAGTTTGAGGCCTGAAAACATTCGCGATTTCGTTTCTTGGGTCGCCGTCATGCACTAGCAACGGGTCAGAAAGCAAGACGTTCGTGACAGCATACAAAGGATTCATCGCAATGTCCTCTTCGAGCCCCTCAAGAATGGCATTGTCCTCGTCCGCCTCTGCCTGGTTTTGACCAGATGAAGATATAGCTCCATCAGCAAGCGCGGCTTGCACCTGCGAAGTTGGAGTTTCACTTTTTTCGGCTAATGAAGTCCTGCTGCCTCCAACTCCTCGTTCATCAACTTCTACTCCCTCCTCTGGTTCATGATTATCTTCCTGAGATTGCACTATGCCTGCTGGAAGGAGTCCGCCACCACGGCCTCGTCTCCGGGAGGATCTGCTTCCTGCAGCAGCTTCGATGGAGCTCATGTACTGCTCCTTGAGAGACATCTTTATGATAGGAGATCTTCCCCGTGGTGATCGGAGCAGGCAGTCTTGCGACATCAAAACGCGATCGAACAGATCTGACAGGATTAGGAGAACATCAGCGACAAGTTGCTGCTCTGCGTCCCCGGCTCGCTCACCACCATGATGCGCCTCGAGCACAAAAGCTGTCAAGACCTTTCCCATCAGCTGCTGCAAGATCGCCTGCTCACCATCAGCAATCTGAATCATTTCGCCATTGTCCTCTTCTTGTTCCTCCCTCGCGGAGCCCTTGTTCATCAGATGGTAGTAGTAGAGGTCCTTCTCAAGACTGGTGGTACTTACGTGCAAATCCGCACGAACTTGCTCATTCAGAGTACGGAGTTGCTCGGCGACTCTTTCCTGTTCCGAGCCGGCGGCAGATCTCGCCGTGCTCGAAGCTGTATCTTCTCTACCAGACCGCGAGAGGTGGCTTTCATCCCCACCCGTTTGATGCAGTTGGTCTACAACTCCTACTATCCGAGAAGATAACACGTCTGCCACATCCCGCCTTGTCATGCCTTCACCACCGCCTGCCTCGGACGCGCAACTACCAGCAACAGTCGCACCGGCAAAAGACGCCGTCTTGTTCGCGCCACCCGATGATGATGCTACGCTAGACTTGCTTCCTCCTTTACTCGAAGTTCCCGCTCCGCCAAGGGATTGCAATTTGATCGACGTATCAAGGGCCGGTGAGTGCGACTTGAAGAGCTTGCTTTTTGGCTTCATCGTGGCAGCTTCTTCGAGCTCGTCTTTGTGCACACTTCTAGCGGGACTGGTGAACTCACTTTCACCCTGTCGCAATGCGTCAGATGTCGTGGCTGCGTCAGCGCCTGCGGAGGATGGATCGCCGCGACGCGAGCCTCCCGACCTAGCACCATCATGTGAAAGGTTGCCTCCTCCGCTAGCTGCGTAGCTC